AGCACATGAAAAAGATAAGCAGCACCGCAGAGAAAAACAGGCGCCGCGGCATGTTGGGCTCTTCTGTCCGCTCACTCTTTCCCTTCCCTCCTTGCGATGGATCCGCCCAGGCCGTGACGGTTGTGTGTGTTGCTGTGACCTCGAAGCCTTCAAAGCACACGGCGGCAAAGAGCAGCGTTTGGTCTCTTTCCTTCTGCGCGTGTGTAGGAGGAGAAGTAGCAGAGAAAAAAGGAAGGCAACGCAGAGGGGCGTCGGCACACCGGCAGAAGAGGGATTTAAGAACGGCGCGGCCCCACACGGCAGCGGCGGCAGCGGCGCTGGGGCCCACGGCGGCGGTGAGCATCGCCCAGGCCGCAAAAGAAAAGAAAAGAAGAGACGGAAAAAAGATGTGAGTAATCCCCGCAGGACCCCCAAAAGAAAAATATATAAAACGAACTCACTTCGGCAGGTGGTGTTCCTTCACCTCACGTGTCCAGCAGCACAAGAGGACTGTGAGAGATGCATGTATATTTTAACACCTGCACGAAGAAAAAACATCGCCCATGCTGCAGGAGCCCACACATCCCTCGCCCATTTCATGCGGCGTTCGGCCTGCATTTCAACACATCAGTTGCGTCAAAATCCGTGCAACGCACAGCAATGCGGCCGGCACCGCGTGTGTGTTTGTGCAGCAGCAAACAGGAGGGGGAAATGTTGCGCCGCCCGTGGGAACGTGCATGGGGCGGCGAAGCAAAAAAAAGAAGAAGAGTAAACATCCCTCAGAGCCTGGAAGAGAGAGAGACGTTGACCCATAGGGACAACAAGCAAAATGAGCACACAAAGCGTACGCGTCGCCCCTGTCAGGGTGTGCGTGACTGTGCGCGGTTGCTTCTCAGCTTTGCCTCTCAGGAACACCCAGCAGCAGAGGCGAGTAGCAGCAGCAGCAGAGGTGCACGCACCCACGCAGCGGCGATGGCGACACTGCTGTCCGCGTTGCTCCCAGCACTCGGGCTGCGGGTGGTGGTCGTCGTGATTCCATCTGCCGCCCTGTCTGCCGCGGCTGTTGGCGAAGCCGCAGTGTCAACCGATGGCGTTGTAGTTTCCCGAGGGCCTCCCGTCGATGGTTCCCGACTTCCGGTGGGGCCCGCCGCGGTGCCCGGCTGCTCCCCAACAGCAGTGGACGCCCCATTCCCCGCACGGGCTCCTGCCGCACCGCCTTCTTGCTGGGGTTTCGCCGGAGATGACTGTTGTTGTGGTGATGTTTGTGTTCCTGCTGCGCCAGACTGCACCTGCGTCGCGGTTTAACTGGGGGTTGGGGGCGCACAGGTGCCCGAAGCGCCGAGTGGATTCTCCGTTGCAGTGATGGCGACGATTTCGCCCCTCGACAGTTTGTGCAGCGCGCTGCTTGTACCCACCGTACAGTCCATCGTGAACGCAACAGCGTCTGTGCCCTCCGTTGGCTGGGATGCAGGGCAGCCCCCCGTCGTGAACTTCTCCAGGTACGCCGAACCGGCAAAGATGCAGAGGGAATTGCTGCCAGCAGCGCCCCCACTGCTCCCAAAATCCTCTACTGCCTGAGGACACTCCCTCCAGTTAGGCGGCTTCCCGCCGGCAACGCGCCAACGCAACTTGCCGTTAGTGTTAGGGCACGACACCTCCACCGACACATTCACATCCCCGGTTGTCTGAGCCTCCTCAGCATTCGCACCGCAGACGGAGGGGCAGCAGCCGCTTAGCAGCGCGAGGAGCGCCAAAGCGCACACCGCACAGCGCCGCACCGCCAGCGTCATCGCCATCAGTAAAAATCTTGGCCGTAGAGTCGCCGGGGTCAGTGAGCTTCAAGGCGGCGGGGAAGACGGAAGCAAGAGAAAAAGAGCGAAAAAGAGAGAAAGATAGAGAAGAGAGAAAAATAACACAAAGAGGGCGGCCCACCGAGTTCACGCAGCCACATGCACAAGAGAAAGCCGCACACGGCACCGCCAGCACCGAATGCGAAGTGACCAGCCACGTGCCCTGCAATTCGTACCGTGCCGTGTGGTTGTGTGTGTGCCTGCCGAAGCGCAGTGGGGGGAGGGGAAGGGAGGGCAGAAGAAGACTAGTGGGGCGGCAGTGCGGCATTCCAACAGATTGAAGGTGCCGACAAGACCGCCCCC